AAAAAAGAGAGAGAGAGAGAGAGAAAAATAATTGAAAAAATGATTTTAAAAAATTATTAGAAGAAAAATGAATAAACACTTCTCATGTGATCCGATGTCATTTATTCGCAACATTCAAATGAATACATCCTAAAGAACGAGTCAAGAAAAATTACTTTTGCATCATTCAAAATCTGAGTACTTTAGGATGGGTTTGAAAAGATATTAAGTGCTCTTCTCCACCTACCCCTCCCCCTCCCTTGAAAACCGAACCAATCAAAAGTTGGTGGGTACAGCCCTGTCAGAGATGCAGAATTCAAGATTATTTAAGATCCCTTCTTAAAGGAGGAACCACAAAGTTAGCCTCCTCCGCAGGCGTCTTTCGTCTCTTTTTTGTTGAATTGGGATTCCTATGTCGCGAATTGGGATTCCTGTCGAAAGAGACTAGGTGCTAATTCTTCTCCCCTCTCCTCAGTCCCCCTCATCTTAAAGACACAGGAAGCCCAATACTCAAAAGGAGAGAAGAGACGAGAGAGATGTATGCGGAGGAGGCTACCACAAAGTAACGAGGAGAAAAAAAATTATTAGCACATCCAGCTCCTCCCATTACTTAGTTTAACTATAAATTGAAGATATAGAAGGGAATCAAAAATGTAAAATCCTGGATCAGAATTCAAGATTATTTCAAATCCCTGTTTAAAGGAGAGGACTGTATTTTTCTAAGATAATTCTCAGCTCAGTAAGATTTTCTATTTATTGTTTTTAAGATAAATAAATTTATGCTAAAAGTCCGTTCTTGTGATTGCAGAAAGCATCAAAACCAAAGAGCTCCATATCCAAGGAACTTCCCTTCACTTTTCGTGGTTCGTATTATATTTTTTCTTTTTTCTTTTTGTTTCTTTTTGTTTTCTTTTTTCATCTTTGACCAAGGGAGCACATTAAAATTTTGTTTGTGTAAGGAAAGTCGTTGTTCTTGGTTGATCTATCTAGCGCGCGCAATCCATCTTGTGACAGGCGTTCCTCGTAGTGTTTTGGTTTCGGCCGATCCGAATGGCTTACGATCGTGTAAGGAAGGGAATGACGAGTGTAATGTCGCTCCGCTCCTCGCAAGAAATTCGTCGGTTTTCGGAGTAAATTCGCTAGCCCGACTAAAGCAAGGTACGCCTGCCATAAAGTGTAGCGCGCGCACGTAAACAAGAACTACGAGGAACGTCTGCCATATCTTAGAATACGTGCGATAAAATCGAAGATAAACCAACACAATCAAAATTTTGACGTGCTCCCTTGCTTTGTTATGCCAATAGAGTTTTAGCACCATCACGTGTCCACGCCCATAATATAGCTTGGGCTGCCTGTGTTTAGATGGAAGAACAACAAAATCCCTTTGCTCTCGGGAATTAAATTCTTTTTCACGTAAAACGATTGTATTGTTCCTGCCATCTAACGTGGCTGCCGTCACTTGATGGTGCAAAACCTCTATTCAATGTTCTAAAGTCCAATTTGATCATGGAATAAGTTAAGGTTCACAGGAAAAATGGCACTAAATTCGAACATGCTCAAAATAGTGACGATTCATCTGCGACGTGAATTTATCAAATCTCAAAATCGTAGTTTACACGAGCGATTTGTGAACGCACGTGAATCGCCGCAAGAATCGCAGCGGAAATCGTTCTTCAAATCGCCGAAAATATCGCCTGTGCAAAGCCCCGTTTACACTGGCGATTTTTGCGGCGATTTTTGCTACAATTTTTGTGGCAATTTTCGGAAATATGAAATCTTTTGTCTCATCCTTCAAAAGAGACATTCGTCTAGGAAAATCTTGGTATCCTGAAAAAAGCTTTACAAGTAAATTCTTTACCATTATTTATTATGGACAGAATCACAAAAAAACGCAGCAAAAATCGCCACAAAAATCGCTAGTGTAAACGGGGCTTAAACGGACCTTTTTTATAGGACTTGTAGAAAAAGCTGTTATGGCCGGGCTCCATACGAATTTAAAAGTACTAAGGAAAGAAAAAATTCACACACTGAGTGCTTTGCTGTACTTTGATGTGTTCGATCTGTTAAATTGGAAATTCTTAAATTAAAACACATTTTATATTCATATATAGCAATAAAATATATATTATTAACATAGAACGTATCGTTTTAGCTCCGCAGACGTATAAAGAATTTAAAGACCTCATCTCTCCGTGGTTAGTAAGAAAAAAGCCTTTAAATTTTATCATAGATACCTTGGTTTTAGTAGATGTCAATCAAGCCGTTTCCATGACATCCCATAGGCACATGCGCTTGAAAAATTTTTGTTTTCCGACATTGTCATGGAAACACTTTGATTGACGTCCACCAAAACCCTATTTTATCGCGACATCAAATTGTGTGATTTTTGAAAAAAATGGTTATTTCACATTATTTCTATCATGACGATGCAATGTTGACGTCATTTTTGAAACAGGCCAGAGTCACGTCATCTGACTATCATCCAAAGAATCAAGGCTTGTAACCATCCCAAGATCAACCCTGAAAATAAAGCAAAAATGGAGGTTTGTTATATTTAGGAATTTACTGAGGAATACTCCCAATTCAAGTTCACCTTCGCTCAGTCTTAGCCTCGATTGTGTACAAATGTGTTCTTTTCTTTCATTAAGGTCCATTGTATAGTAAAGAATATAGGTACTATGGAGCAATACGAGTTGATTAAAATGCTACGGGTTTGGTTGATATATCTGAATATTACAACGCACGAATGAAACTAGGACTGAGCAAAGAGAACTCGAAGCTGGAGTATTTCTTTATTGTGTGGTTCCAGAGATTATCCAATCGCCCCGCCCCCGACACACACACACACACACACACAGGAATTTGGAATTTCCAATATGTAGGGGGGTGGGGGTCAAAGAAAGAAAGAATTAACAGAGTTTGTATGGAAGAAAATAACTGGAATTTCTGGGAGTTGGGGGGGGGGGGTGAATCCTTAAAATGATTCTCCGTGGGGGAGGGGTATGGAAAATTTTAGGAACTACCCATTTAATAAGAGTTTTTGCCAGTCTTTAATATATTATTTTGTCATTGTTTTTTTTCTAGACGTTTTTTACAATTCTCATTGGTTATGTTGCTGAATTAGTAGAACAAGACCCTCCAGCATTAGGCACAGTCGACAAACTAACAAAGTTAGTGTATAGTCATTTTTATTTAACTTAACAATAAATTCAATAGAAATGATCTTTTATATAATGACAGCTGGCTCTAGTCGATATATGAATTGAAGGGTTTCTTAGTATTGTTGTGTTTGATGTTGCTGTTGCTGCTGCTGCTGTTGTTGTTGCTGCTGTTGTAGTTGTCTTGTTGTTGTTGTTGCTGCTGCCGTTGTTGCTCTTGCTGCTGTTGTTGCTG